GGTGGGATCCCCCGCCTCGCCGGGCTCCCAGAGCACCCCCTCAAGACTGGGACGCCCCGTTCCCAGCGCTGCCTTAATGTCCCGCATCACCCGGGTGGGTTTGGGGTGAGCGGGACCCCTCCGTGGCCTCCGAGCCCCGGCATTGCACCTTCGGGAGAATGGGAGACCCAGGAGGGCCCCCAAACCGGCCGGGGGGTTCATTGTCCCCCCTCGAGCGGCTCCGTCCTCATTTTTCCACCCGCTGCCTTGGCTGCGATGACAAAGAGGCCATTTATAGCCGCTCGTCGCTGTTGGAAGGGGTAATCCCTTCCTTCCAAACGTTCCCATTCCTTTCCAACCCTCCCCATCCCATCCCAACACTTTTTCAGCCGGTGCTTCTCTACTGTAAAAAAAAAAAATAAATTCCTTCCTCCTCCCGCCCTTGGCCAGAGCCGGGATGGATTCCGGGATGCTCCGCAGGGATGAGCCGGAGGGGCAGGTGCCCCACGGTTCGGCTTCGTGCCCAATTGCTCCCGGGTTTTCCCCTCGCTGACCCCCGGGGGCTGCTCGGGAAGCACAAAGCGGCAGGGAATATTTGCCCGGCGAAAACTTAAGCCGTAGCGTTCCTGGTGGGACTGACCTCGCCCAGCCCGTTTTGCCCTAAAAAAAATGGGAAGGAAACGGGGTTTAGCGGCTATTGAGGGAGGAAAAGGCTTTTCCCGAGTGGGTCGGAGCGGCCCCCGGGGGCTGGCGAAGCCTCTCGGCTGGAAACCCCAAAGTTTCCGACCGGAGCGGGAGGATGATCCTGCAAATTTTCGGGCCTTTGTGGTAAAATCGGGAAATCGGGATAATGCGAACGAGCGAGGCAGGAAATGAGGCGGCTGAACGTCGCCTCGGAGGGAGGGGGGGACACCGGGGGCTGCCGGGTCCCGGCTCCCCGCGGGGTCCTCCTTGGTGGGAAAGGGGCAGAGTGTGCCCCGTGTGCCTGCGGCTGTCCCCGAGGGGTTATCCCGTTATCCCAGACCTGTGTTCCCGCTGTTATCCCTGCGGCTGTGCCCGAGGGCTTGTCCCTGGGGGCTGCCCTGTGTTCCCGTTATCTCCGAGCCACTGCTCTGTGTTCCCAGTTATCCAGAGGGGCTGTCCCCAAGCTGCTACCCCATGTCCCTGTGGTTATCCCATGCCTCCAGTGTTTGGAAGGGCCGTGTCCGGCCTCTTGTCGGGATCAGCAGCCTCGGGTGGGTGGGGGGGAAATGGCGTGGGATCACCATCCCTGTGGATGACTAGCTGGGAAAACCATGGATCGGGGTCCCTCCGGATGTCGGGGTGCAGCGGCACGAGGGTGAGCCGGGCTCTTCCTGCAGGGAGGATGCACAGCAGTGCCGTGTGCCGGGGTGTTTGCAGGTGCTGAACCTGGCAGGTGCCTATCCTTGCTCTCCCCACCTCCTCCCTACGTGTCCTGCATCCCAGCCCGCCCC